CTGGTGACCACTGATTCCTATAGTTCGGTATAGTATCTTGCATTTTGAAGGTATTCAACATCTGTATTTTTTTTTTTTTATGACGAAATGAAGTACTTCCTTCCTTTTTGCCAAATCTGAAGACCTTATCTCAAGAACTCAGAGTGAGAAAGCCAAATGAAAGACAAGGACAAGGTAATGGCATAAAAGTTGCACAGGCTAAGGGGCAAGATAAAGAAGGAAAAAAATTTTTTTTTTTTTTTTTTTTGAAACTGAGTCTCACTCTGTCGCTTAGGCTGGGGTGCAGTGGCATAATCTCAGCTCACTGCACCCTCTGCCTCCCAGGTTCAAGCGATTCTCCTTACCTCAGCCTCCAGAGTAGCTGGGATTACAGGCACCCACCACACACCTGGATACTTTTTGCATTTTTAGTAGAGACGGGATTTCTCCATGTTGGCCAGGTGGTCTCAAACTCCTGACCGCCCACCTCGGCTTCCCAAAGTGCTGGGATTACAGGCATGAGCCACCGTGCCCGGCTGGAAGAACGTTTTTTGATGCACTACGTTTGCAGATGAGGTTATTTGAAATGAACTGGGCTAAAACCCTTAGAAGGAGATATGTGGACGATAGAGTCTCAGGACAGCTCGGATGCAGTGAGTAAATGCCAGTCCCAAGCACATGCAAGCCAGCATGGCACAAAGCCTGCAATTAGCTTGCAAAATAGTCTTTGAAAAGGTCTATTTCTGAAGAATAAAATGTGTAAAAATTCGGTTTATTTTAATCTATGGTTATAACACTGGGGAAAAGGACAAGTTTTAAATTGTTTATCATTTCAATGTAAAACTGCACCTGGTAATAAAACTCAATACTAATAAAAAGAAAAATAACAGGGTATTTTTATTTGGAAAGCTTTTATGGGTAAGGAAAGTCAATGGACTTTCTCTTCTCTGTAGTACCCCGTCCCCCACACTGTCTGCAAGGGTGAAGTGTACAAAGGCTGTGGGTCATCTTTAATAAGTATGAACCCATACAGGGTACATGTTATGTTTGAGGATATAAAAGTATAATTCCTCGATCTTTACTTGGTTTTAGATAGGTTGAAAAGGATTAAGCACATATTTCCCAACACTGTTACTCTGTGGGTCTATTCTCAGTACCCAAAATAGAGCCTGTTTGTGGAATAGATGCCCAGTGAAAATGTGTTGAGAGTAAGTGAATGAATCTGCAGCTCTGAGCCTTGGAGCCACTCTATTACCAGTAGTTGGTAACTGCCCTCCAGATCAGTGATGCAATCTTTGTTTTAGTTCCCTAAAATCAAAGAGAAGTTAAGTCTTCTCCCATCTGGGCTCAGGTATACTGCACAGGGCCATAGAATTATTTTTTTCAAAATAGAAAATTGCCTTAATTTTTATTTGGCTTTAAATAAAGTAACATATGATCGTTGTAAAGAAATATCTACAATACCAAAAGCAAAAAAAAAAAAAAAAAAAATTTAAAATGACCACCAATACCCCAGAGAAAATGGCTAGTCTTATTTTAGAGGAGGAAGCCAAGGTCTGGAGCTAAAGGAAGAGGGACTTGCTCAGGGTCTCACATGCCCTTTGTCTTCAGATCAAAACCATGATTTTAGATGGCCTTGATTTCTGCTTCTGGCCACCTATTTCCTGCACACACCCTGCACTTTCCACCAGAGCTGACTGAACCATAAAGCCTGACTTTCACTATTCCCATAAATGATCAGATTTTACAAAATTCTGAAGGGTGGACATGGACTTACCAAATCTCAGAATAGCAGAACTAGAAGGTTCACCTTGAAACATGGAAAGGTAAACTTAGTATGAGTATAAGGAAATACATAAGTACTACTCTTCCTTAAGAAGAAAGAAAGAGCGAGAGAGAGAGAGAAAAGGAAGGAAGGAAGGGAAGGAAGGAAAGAAGGAAGGAAGGAAGGAAGGAAAGAGAAGGAAGGAAGGAGGAAGGAAGAAGGAAAGAAGGAAGGAAAGAAGAATGGAAAGAAGGAAGGAAGAAAGAAGGAAAGAAGGAAGGAAGGAAGGCAATGAATAGAAGCAAGAAAGAAAAGGAAGAAAAGAAGAAATAAAAAACAGAAAAGAAAACAATATAATATCCCAAAAGAAGTAATACAGACAGAAATGTAAGTTAAACAAGGTTAGGATTAATTTGTGTACGTTTATTTTAGGTTATTCAGGGTACATAAGATTTACTGTGTACATTCCTTTTATGTCTGAATGTAAAAGAATGAAGAAGACAAATTTAAAAAGAAGAAAAATTAAAAGAAGACAAATTCTTCCACACAAAACAAAAAAGTTGAAGGAACAAACCATGTAGCTGTGTGGTCAATTCTTAAGCAAAGTCCTGAATCTGAAGAAATTGGGTTTATTCACTCTAATGACAGTATGGCTCTAACCACAGCAATTTAGTTCTGTCACATCTCTGTCAATGATTCCCTGACCCCCTGTTCACATGGAAAGAAAAGAAGCTGACAATGGCAATCTAGCCTGATGCCCAGTGTCTACATCCCCAGTCCTGAGCCTCTCTAGCCACAGCTCTATCAGGCCTGCCCCGGCACCCTGACCTGTCTGCTTTCTGATTCTGTTACACTTTGGTTTACTAGCATGCTGTGAGGTACATAAAGGCAGGAACCATGTCTACTTCTTTACCACCATTATTTTTCCCATCCTTAGCACACTTAAACCTGGTTAGTGCTTAATAAATAGTTGTTGGATGAAGATATTTTGTAGACTATCATGAGACCCTGAGGTGAAATAACACAGCATTGGAAGGAATAAGAGGTGTGGTTCACTGAGCCCAGCCACCGCCCACAAGACTTCCATGTCCACCATGTCCACTCAGCACTGAGCCTCATACTGTCCCTGGTTCTCCCCCATCTCCCTGGTACATTGTCTTCTTTGATGGTTTCCATTATACCTTGATGATCGCTCACTTTTTCTACACTTGCTTTTTTGGGCATATCCCTTCAGCTTTTGTACTGGCACCACCATACTGTGTCTGCCCAAATTTATTTCTCTAATAATGATTTCTCTCCCTTTTTGAACAAAGAGTGAAATTTTCTATCTCCACATGCCTGCAGGAAATCTCTTTTTGGGTGTGGTTTCTACCTGAAATTAAACACTGCTCCTCTGACCATTCAAGAAGGAAATCCTCCATTTGGGACAAAGCAGAGACTTTCCTTCCAGCTTCTCAGACATCTATTCTTTGGAATCATCTGTAAGTTCTTTGCTCTCTTAAAAGGTTTGCTAATTCTCCCTCTGTAAAGACTCTCATATTTGATCTTTCTTCATTTCCACACCCACTGACCTGATTCAGGCCTCATTATCCTATATTCCATACTATCTCTTCCAGTGCTGGTATCCCCATATTCTAGTCCACTGTAGATAAGTTTCTCTAGCATAGTGTCATCACATATAACTCCCTTGTTAAGTCTCTGTCTATTCCTTGTGTAGCAAATAGGAACAGCCAAGATATACAAGTCCAGTCCATTTTCCCTCAAACACTCAACAGGTTTCTTGCACCAGGATTCTTATTTCTACTTCTGCACTTTTGCCAGTGTCATTCCTTCACCTAGACAGGCTCCCTTTCCCTCTTCATTGCCATCATTACCTCCTCCATGGCTCACCTCCACCAAGAAACTTTCTCTGACTAGTTCCATTGCAGGATGATGACTACCTTTCCTTTTCTTGGCATGATGGTTTAGCTCTGGCTGTGCTGCTATGTTGTTTCTCACTTGTTTGGCTAGTGGTAATGGTTAATAATAATAATAGCTATCATTTATGAAAAACTATCATTTACAAAAAACTACTGTGTGTTAGGTACCTGACTAGGCTATTCATGAAGCTCAGTAATCTTCCCAACAATCACACAGGCTATGTAGATATTATGCCTATTTTATATATATGGCAACTATGGCTTAAAGAGAAAAATCATTTGCTCAGGGCCACACAGCTTGTAAATGGCAGAGCTGGGATTTGAACCAACAGAATGCAGGTATCATCCATAGTGCCTTGTGGACATGTTTAGTCATTTCATGAATGGCGGCTGACTCGGGCCAAGTTTATCATAGGCAATTATTTTATCTTCTGCTTTTGTATTCTCCATGCAAATAAGTAGAACATAAGAACAATACTTTTCATTATAGGTGTAAGTTTCCACTTTTCTACTTTGGGATCGTTAAAGAGTCATCTTTCATCTGTGCATTGGAGTTACTGGGAACAAAATCGATTTGATTTTAAGGTCATCGTTTAACATTTTTCTCTCTGTGAATGCCTCACCTGCTTTCTCAAAAGAACATCTGATTTAAGTCACATCAAATACCACACTGTCCTTTGTTCTGAGGCCTAAAATGTTAAAATATGCATTTATGCCCCAGGTTTTATATGCCAAAGCTTTATCTCCCCAGTTTGACCTCGTAGTCACCACTATAGAGGCCTCACATGACATGAACAGCTTCCAATTACACCCAGAATCTCCTCGGTAACATAGCCCACTATTAACCTGTACTATGCAGATCCGTAGAGTTCAATACTTTTCTAATAAGAATGAAAATTTTTCACAAGATTCATCCAGGGCTTTTTGCTTTTTTTTTTTTTTTTTAGATTGAAGATTCTCATTTCCTAAATGGTTCCAATATTCAATACTTGGCATTTTCCTGTCATTTCTTATTATATAAGCTTTTTAAATCTTCACTCACACATTACTTTTGTCATTTAAGACATTCCAATGTGAAAGGTATTGATTAAATGCAATTATCAATATGCAATTATCAATTGATTCCTCTCAAATTTCTCTTTTTCTTGATCCTTGTTTGTTTTCCTTTTTTAAATGCTAAATTTAGAGTCTTAGCAGAAAAAGTTTCCATAACTACTTTTGCGAACAGTTTGGTGTGCAATATGACCACATTTGGCCTCTCAGAAGGATGGTCTTTGAGGCCTGAAACCAACGTTGTTAATAAGGGAATACAAGTATTTTTCACCCTAGATCCTTACCTTTCTGCTTCGAGTCGCATCTCCTCCCTCTTTTGCCTTCTAAGTTCTCTGCGACGTTCAAAATCATCCATGGTGTGATTTCAGGTTCAGGGAGACCAGATGACGTCTGGACCTGAAGAAGAGGAGGTAGAGTCAATATCATAGATAACTCAGTGTGTTACCTCTCTTTCAGTCACTGTGGACCCTCTCCCATTTGCCAGTCTCCTGATTTTTCTTTACTCTTAGAAAGCTGATAAGGTAGCCAGTGATCAATTTCTGACTCCTGAGTCAAGTTAAATTCAGTCTCATTCATGAATCTCTTAGAGACAAGTGAGTAAGATCCCAAGGTTATATATTCTTTTAAAAAGACCTCAGGAGACAGAGAGGTTTTGAAGACTTGAAATATTGGTAGAATCACTTGAAATTCTACTGAATGATTTTGTTCTTTGTAACTTGCTGAACCCCAGACCAAAGTTATGAAAAAGTGAACAAAGAAGGAGGAAAACAGGAATGATAAACAGAAAAGTGGCAAGAAGAGGAATATGTAGGAACTAGGAGAAAAGTGAAAGTGAGAAATAAAATAATACAGTATCTAGGCATATAATGTGCATATTCTCAAAGAAGCATCAGGATTTTAATAAAGACTGCAGCAGTAACATCATGAATAAACATCATGAAGCAACATTTTTAAAAGCAGTTAAGTGGTGATCAAGCTGTTTTCCAAGTTCTAAAATCACTGCTCTTTCTACGGATGTAACCCAACCATTTTACCCTTTCCTACCTCCTCTGTGATGGTTTTAATTCCGGAAAGACCTTCCCCTTCCAACTCTTTAAATGAGGAGCCCGTTTCCCCTGCGTTTTTGTGCCATGGAGTCAACTATTCCAGAATTCCCCTGCAGCCCCCAAACCCAAAATGACTACCAGAAAGGGGGAAGCGGGCTCTTTTTGTCCTTGCTTTGTTTACAGAGCTGTCAGTGGTTAGTTAAACTCGGCCTGGAATCTGGCATTTAAGGCCTGCTTGAAGATTGTTTCCTGTGCGGAACGGGAGGCCTCCACTTCCTCTGGAATCCTAGACTCTCTGCTGCACTCGAATCACAAAAATATTTTCCAGCCCTTTCTGTGCACATGAGACAAGCCATTTGCCCTGTGTGAAAAAATAAGGAGCTGTACAAAACCTAAAGCCATCACACCTGAAGGCATCTTTGTTTGAAGGAGCAAAAAACAAAACTTAGATTTTGAAGCCAAGTTCAGAAACCTTCTTAAATAAATTGTCCAATTCTTTTATTTTCAAATGTTTTTTCCCCTCTTAAAAAATCCCACAAAAACAAAAATAAAAGCTCAGCCAACAAAAGCAAAACTATACAATGTTTGAATTTTTCCCCTTTTTATCGTCTAAGGTGTTATTAATGTTGCTTATAAATCTTTAGAAATTCAAATCTTGGTGTTTATTTGGAGTTTTAATTTTTGGTGTTTATCTATCTTACTCTTACCAAGAGTACTTCCTGAGGCTTTGCTAGCTGTGAAAGAAACAGCTCATTTTCTTTCTTATTATTTCATCAACCATAAAGAAATTTTTCTACACTTTCCAATCTAGTCTACAATTATCAGAATGGAAAAAGAAAAAGTGATTTGAGAGTTCCCTAAGAGGCCATCCGAGGGCCCTTCTCCCTGGGGTAGGCTCCTGTTCTGACCACAGGGCAGGAGTGTGTGAGGACAGCCCTGTGGGCAGTAGGATCTAAACTCATGGACTCGAATGCCAGGTGTAATGGGAGAGCAGACTCTTCTCTTCCTTCAATGTGGTCTTTTGTTGCATATAAAGTGCCCCTTGAATAACTTTAGCAATAGCAAATAGACATGGGAAAAAGAGGTTCATCTATAAGCAAACAATTTTACCTTTTAAAATTTATCCAAGTAGCTTGAAGAGCATCCTCTAAGCCTCTGTCTGGTTTTTGCTCCTACCTCATCAAATTTAAGCTGTCATTCTTGCTGTTTGTCAGCAACAGTGATTCTCAGCCTATACCTCTGGTGGAGGTGCTAATGAGCAGTGAAATGAATATCTCCAAGCAGGCTGGAGAGGTACATGGTCTGCAGAGCCCAGCAGTGTCTTGGAGTACTTAGAGGAAAGTGAAACTAACATCGTGAGGTCACTTCTGCTGGCCATCCTCACTGGCTCTCAACCCACGCAAATTCTTTTTCTACTACCCATTTTCTTCTCCCACTTCTCACCTTCTCTTGCTTACTTGGGCACTTTTTCTTTCCCAGCCATAGAAAAACTACCTGTCGTTTGAGTGCTGCTGAGTATATATGTGGAGGCACCCAGAGGGAGAGAGAGTGTGTGTGCCATTTCCTACACACCAGTGCTTTTCTAGGTGAGGCTTTGTGCACATGAGTGGGTGTAGCTTAGAGGAAAGCACAAAACCACATCTGTGTACCATGTGGTATGACTGTTGGTGGTGTGTGTGTGTGTGTGGTGTGTGTGTCTTGTGTGTGGGGGAGAGAAGGTGTATGTGTGTATGAAAATTGTTCTCAGTATCAACCCAGGATGGGGCTGGAGATCCTCCTTCATCCCTGCACCCTTACATCACAGAGCTTTTCGGCCCTTCTCCATCATCTTCCCTTTGTAAGAGGAGCCATGTCTAGGTAGAATGGTAAGTGATTTTTTTTTTTCTCTTCTATGTCCCCAGGCAGTAATCCCTCATTTCCTGCCCTACCCCTACTCAGTGCTGAATTCTTTTCAGCAACATTGGTTAGGAAACAAACTCTCAACCAATGAAGGGATGAAAAGTCAAGACAGGGAGATTCCATCAGTCGTGAGGCTCTGGGTGTCACAAATAGTGTGAAAGAGCTAAGTATTGATGTTTGTGACAGATGGGTTCTTGGAGAGTTTTATGAAAATCTAAATTTTTGTGCTCGAGGGGGGATTGTGGTCATGCTATAGAAAGATTTACTGAGGTGGCTTCTTTCGTAAAGAGGGGAAAAACCAAAACCTTAACAGAGGCAGATAAGTCATCACCTATGGACATGTCTGTGTTTTCAATATGGGTTCTCATAGATTGGATTTTCTTTTAAAACAGGGCCTGCCTACACTGCCATGATTAAGAAATAAGTCAGTGTTAAAGGTTTCAGGCCAGACGCAGTGGTTCACGCCGGTAATCCCAACACTTTGGGAGACTGAGGTGGGTGGATCACTTGAGGTCAGGAGTTCGAGACCAGCCTGGCCAACATGGTGAAACCCCATCTTTACTAAAAACACAACAAATTAGCTGGGCGTGGTGGCAGATTACTGTAATCCTAGCTACTTGGGAGACTGAGGCAGGAGAATCACTTGAACCCGTGAGGTGGAGTTTGCAGTGAGCTAAGATTGGGCCACTTCACTCCAGCCTGAGCAACAGAGCAAGACTCCATCTCAAAAAAAAAGGAAAGAAAAAAGATTTCAATCACCGAACACACTGCCGTTCCTTTTTTTTTCTTTTTTTGAAATGGAGTTTCACTCTTTTCACCCAAGCTGGAGTGCAATGATGCGATCTCAGTGCACTGCAACCTCTGCCTCCCACGTTCGAGAAATTCTCCTGCCTCAGCCTCCCGAGCCCTTGGGATTACAGGTGTACACCACCACGCCCGGCTAATTTTGTTATTTTTAGTAGAGACGGGGTTTCACCACATTGGCCAGGCTGGTCTCGAACTCCTGACCTCAGGTGATCGTCCCACCTCGGCCTCCCAAAGTGCTGGGATTATAGGCATGAGCCACCACGCCTGGCCTGCCCTTCTTTTTGAACAAAGCCACAAGCCTGCGGCCCAGGGGATTGGCATGATGTGACAAGAGGTGTGTCCTGCATCTTACCATCACGCCAGGGCTTCCGGGACTTTCCTCTCTTTCCTTTCTTTCCTCCTTGCTTTTTTTTCTCTGCCTCTTTTCAAAGGCGGAATATTGACTGGTATTTCTTCTGACATTAAAAAATTTTTCTCTTTCTTTGTCACTTTTTTCCTTCTCTATATCCCACCCTATGTTGGAAATTAAAGTATGTTTGTATTTATTAAAACTAATTTATGGCTCTTTTCCTTTAAAAATTTAGTTCAATAGCTAATGTGCATCTTTCAACCAAGAAATTTATTATGTTTTATATTCACAAAGTTTTTGCTGTTTTCTTTTTCCCTCTATGGGCATGTGGCCCTCAGTATAGATATTTCCTGTGACGCCTTTACAAGGAGAACTAGTAAGTTTCTGCTTTTGTTTGGATCAGGGTTGGTGGCAGATAAGCCATTTTAGGTGTGTGTGGGTGTACTCACCTGTGCACACGCACATGTGTAAATTCAGTCAAGGCAGGAGATGTTTGTGAGCAGGTGGCTTTCTAACCTAGCACTCAACACTTAGGGACAAAGCCGTATGGAAGAAGCTAAGTCTTACCTACTTTTTGGGCAGTGCCAATATTGGTTTGGAATGCAAGAATAACAAAATCTGTTGTATCCGGGACACTGAATAAGTTACATCCAAAAGGAGCTAATATTTATTGAATATGTACTGTGTGGCAGGCCATTTTTTAAGCCTTTAACATTTTAATGAATAGACTTTATTGCTTAGAGCAGGAAAAAAGCGAGTAGAGAGTACAGAATTCCCATATATTCCCCCCTCCCCAACTCCTGCCCACATTTTCTCCTGCATTTGGAGATAGAGTCTTTGCAGATGTAGCCAAGATGAGGTGATTAGGATGGTCCCTTATCCAATATAATGGTGTCCTTATGAAAAGGGGAAATTTGGCACAGAGACAAACACACACAGAGGGGAGATAATGTGAAGGCATGGTGAGATGCCATGAGAAAATGGAGACAAGGAAGACCTAAGGTTTTCACCAGAAAGCTGGGAAAGAGAAATGGGGCAAACCCTTCCCCAGCGCATTCAGAGGGAGCCTGGCCATGCTGACACCTCCATTTCAAACTTCAGCTCTCCATAACAGTGGGACAAGAAATTACTGTTATTCTAAACCAACGAGTGTGTGGTACTTTGTTATGGCAGCCCTAGGAAACTATTAGGAACATCTTGCAGTAGTGTGGTACATTTGTTCCAACTGACAAACCAATATTCATGCATTATTATTAACTAAAGTTCATAGTTTACATTAAGGTTCACTCTTTGTT